GCCTCCTCACAAAATCGGCACCTGTGGGTCAGTTTTCCAGCCTTCTTTCCCCTCTTGTATCACAAAGTCTGCCAGTGAAGGTGGAGACAGTGGAGAAGCCCGAGGTCAGGAAGCAAAGCACTGCTGAAAATCCAAACGAAGGTAAGTATTTGGAAATAATTGTTTTCCAGCCAAAATGTATACAGACCTGATGGTCCGGATTCTTTCCCTGTCTGACTTACAAAATAATATAATTAATGAATTATATTCAGACATTTGAACAAGTCACTTTGTGGCTCACGGCACTGTGTTAGGCGTTTTTCACAGATTTTATTGATAAAGTAGTTAATAAATTAAGAAAAATTATTGCCATATATTGTCAGTTTTACTGGGCCAGTACCAATAATAAAGACTTTGGAATAATATTCAGCTCGATTGTAGTGTTTCAGCTTCCCTGATTCTCTGTCGGTGTCATGGATTACAGGAGCTCTGACACACCGGAGTCTTGGACAGGTGAGACTGAGGGAATTACCTAAATGGCTTGCCTGCAAAGCCCCAAGCCATCCAAAAGATGCTGTGGGAATGTTGCAAAGAGGTCAGTATCTCTCTCACACAGAGAGACACAGTATTCGTGCTACTCACAGCACAAAAGCCGCCCTCCCATTTGTTTGTCTGTCACTTCTAACTTCCTGTAACAGTGTTATCTCTCAGAAATGAGGTTTTATTGAACTTTGTAGATGCTTGTAGTCAGATTTTGTTACCTCAGAACAAAAGCATCATAGCCAACAGCTGTTAGCAGCCGCTTAATATCTGCTATACAGATGTGAGATTGGTGTCTATTCTTTAAGATTTCTGTGCTTGTCTTTTCTCAACTCTTCTGTGCGTGATTCAGGCTGGCAGTGGTATTACAGGCGGTATATTGATGTGAGGAAAGGAGGTGTAGGTGGACTGGGCATGTTGTTAGCAGGATACTGCGTGCTCAGCTACATCTGGAGTTACCGCCACATAAGTAAGTGTGTTTTGCTAAGTGTGTGCTCCATTTAACTGATGGATTTGGAGATAAGCTGGTTTTCTTTTTTTTCCTTTTCCCAGAGCTTGATCGCTGGAGGAAGTATCACTAATGGTCAAGGAAAGATACTTGGAGCAGCAGCATTGACAGAGAAAAGATTCAGAACTTCAGGACTCCATATGATGAATTTGCACAGCATATATAACTGAGAATTTGGTACCGTTACTTGTCAGCATGTAAGCCCTTCCCTTCAGCCAATTTTGTGTATTCTGTCACCAGCATACATTGTGGGAGCACTATATAGTATATAAATAATAAATAGTGAAGAAAGTGCAAGAGTGCCTTAAACTGAATTCTTTGGAGTGACCACAAGTGTACAACTCTTCTGGTTGGAAAACAAGTACAGGTGTATAGAAGTCTATGTCAATTCTCCAGTGAGTTTAGGGTCTCAGTAGCTAGTTTCAAGCTTGATTGAATGCAACATGCTTATTTTTTGAATTAAATGGTCACTTCCATATAAGCATACAGATCCCCCTCAATTTAACCCCAGATACACTCATGACAACAGGACAAATGCTCAACTCTAAGCTTCACATTGGGACTGCGTTGACTTCATAGTGCTTCTAGAGTTCCTCTAGAAGCAAGTCTTGCCGTTGGGTTCTTGTTTGGGCAGTTTCATTTCAGTGGTCACTGGGACATAAAACTGCATGTGTGGTATCACCAGTCAGATCTGATAAAACTGGCTGAATCCTGATGACTTTTCCCCAAAATAAGCCTTTTTTGTTCCCGTTTGTCTTACTACCTTGTTTGCTTTTGCTGAATTTTCCCAGATATTTATATTTAGAATTGGGTGTCGTGTGTTTCTTTCAGTCTCTCTGGTTGTCCATCTTTTGTATAAAATCTAAAAGCATATGTTATGAAGACAGACTGCATGATTATGAATTTTCCTAATTAAATTAATTGCAAACGAATACGAAACTAAAACATGTAACGTTTCATTATCTGTATAAGGTTTCTAAAATGAAAGCTTGTCATGCTACATTGTATTATTTTAAAATGCTTATGTTTTTGTGTTTCTTTTATTATTCCTGTTTTATTTATTTCATGGAGAAAATGTTAAAAAGTATTTGCTTTAAAAAAAAAAAACAGCTTTTTTAAGAGTCAAAACATTTTTCCTCATCAGTGACCACTGTGTGTTCCAGACATCCACTAGCTGTCACTGTTGGGTTATGTTACTTGAACCAAAGGGGGCTGGGCAGTCTAATGTCTGCTGTGCAGTTTTCTCAGCTCTTTTGTGTAGAGGCATCGGCACTGGAGTCCATAAAAGGATTAAAGAGAACCAACAGATTTCTAACTTGATAAAATATTACTTTGGCAGCTGTGATGCAGAGAAACATGAAATCTAAATGTCATGACATCAGTGAAAAGATCATATCTGTGCAGCAGAGGGTAACAAATCTGGTTTTCCTTTGCCACTGCTTCCTCTGTCACATGATGTGATTATGCATGCTTAGTCCATCAGTCCCAGTGTGTGAACCCTCACAGAATAGCAATGGAGGGAAATCGAAGGAGGTTTTCAGCCGGACTGGACCAGTTCCTTGTTGTACACAAAATGGATTTATTGTTGAATCTCCTAACTGCTGTATTGAACAAATACAAATAAAGAAACAACAGCATTTTCTTTTGTAATGACTTTACTGACACTGCTTCTTAGTCAACACAATAAAAAATAATTTTCTTAAGTTTTTTTCTTTACATTCTCTTTTTCTTCGTACAAAAATTATAAATATTTTGTGTCTAACTTTTTTTATACAAAACAACAAACTATACAAATCAAATGGGACAAACAATGAAAATGAAGGCAGAAAACGCATCTCTGCACAAAAAAAAAAGAGAAAAAAAACTGATGATGATAGGGGAGAAAAAGCACAGTTTGTTCCTACCAGGCTCTCAAGACCATGATATGCATTCTGATAACACAATGGTTTACAAACACTGGGTATGTCCCTACTTTGAAAGCCTAAAGTGAACATCCTTGTAGATATAAGTGCTATAGAGGCACAAAATCTTGCAGCAGTCGCTTGGAGGAGCAAATGCAAAATCTCACTTGACCCTAACTTGTCATTTGAGATTTGCTTTCAAAGCAAACAGCCCAGTTTTTCTCGGAAAGAAGAGGTCTGCAAGAGCTGAGGCAGAGATGAAGACAGGCTGCCATGGCCACTGGCACTTAAATTTAAAAAAGGGTCTTCTATCATCCCATTTGAAAGGCCTTCAGTCTGTTTGTGTAGTCTATTAGCAAGCATATTTCACATACATGCTCATAGGAGAAAGGTGGTGCTGTCCAGAATCAACCCTGAGAGCATTTAATGCATTTAATCAGGGCTTTTGTGTTGTTGCAAAAACAGAAGTAGAGGGACATTATTTAGGACTTTTAAGTCTTGGTTTAATAAAACAAAAACATAATCATTCTGAGTTCAGAGGAAACACTACAGGGTTTTTTTAATAATTAGCCACAGAGCTGGTGAGACAAATGAGGGGGATTCTGGATGAGACCACAGTCTCTCCTAATAATTTTGGTTGTGCTGCTGAGAAGGAAAAGAGCGAAAGTGTGAGAAAACTATCCCAGGGAACTAAGAAAACGCTTGGCAATAAAGTCAAAAGTATGGCAATCACACTACCAAACTACAGGAAATCAGTGTGTATGGTTGCCAATTAACACACACACACACACACACACATTGACGTGTCAGGGTTGTAAAGCATAGAGAGAAAGATATGATTCATATATAATTATATGCAAAAGGCAAACAAACATACATACAATCAATAACCCTCCTGGGTCATTTAGACTGCTGACAGTATTGTCACGTTCTCAACGCTGGGGAACACATAACAACAAACAAAAACAGTCCTGTTTCTTTCAATGTCATTTAAAAAAAAAAGTTCAGCAAATTTAACATCTCTTCCTCAATCTGAGGACGTAGCTCCACAGACACAAACTCACTGTGAAATGATGAAGGTGGCAGAGATCTACAGATATGTCCTGTGTCTGTGTCGGGACTTGCATACCTTTAAGGTACAAAAGAAAATGAAAAAGGTGACTTAAGCACACAAAAAAAGCACTGTAACACTACCATATGTGTCAATGGGACTAGTTTAACTGGCTTCTAGTGTGATTAAGAGGTTGTCCTTGTTACAGGCAGCCGAAAACACAAAAGCAGGCAAAAAGATTTTGGTTCTCTTTGACGTGTCCATCCGGTTCAGCCCAGCATACACCGCATATTGACTAAAGCCTTGTGTTTATATAGTTCCTGAAATAGGCCACAGTATGTTTAGTGCAACTTGCCTGTTTGAAGGTATCTCTACTGAGCTTAGATGTGAGGAGATCTACACCTCTCAACCATGAACTACTTGTACAAAAGCAACTGTTTGCGTGCTTAGATGTAGAAAGAACAGAAATAAATGGATTTTCTGATATTTAGAGCTTCTTCATGTAAACACTTCCATATAAAAACCTACAATTAGGCACAGAGTCCCTCCTCCTCATCTCTCTTGTTCGGCATAGGTAATGGGATGGGGAATAAACAATAAACTGGCAAAAAGTATTAACTAGTGTGTGAAGAGAGGGACACTCTTGCATTCAGTCGCAAACCCTACCACTGTAAAATAAACAAAAGAACATTTTGCATCTGTTAGTACATTGCATTGCACACATTCCCGGGTCTTTATAGGTAACTGTAAGTGCATGTGTTCACGTAACACCTTTACAGACTAACTGACTTCAACATAAAATCCCCCTAAAATAACCCAAAGCAAACTACGTACATGCTACATGGCTGTGTATCACTAAGAACACAGGCCTGAAAGAAGAGTTAGCCTCTCTTCACACAGGGGACATAAAAAAAAGAAAAAGAAATGCACATACAAAAAAGAAGTAGAAACCATACATTGGGTGTAATATGGTTCATACATCTTAACATTCCAGGATGCTGTTGACTGCCGCCTCAAGAGCAGAATCTGTGTCAGGGTGAGGGGGTGAGGTGAGCTGAGGGGTATATGGAGGCTGCACAGGGTGGTGAGACACCTGGTAGTTTGTCGGGCCTCCTGACAATGCTGGGAAAGGTGAGGGTTTATTAAGAGGGCAACTATTGGCAGCAATCAGGCTGTTGTTGCTGATGCCGCTGGGTCCGTAGAGTTGCTGGGATCTCTTCATTTCCAGCACGTTCTTGTTTTCGAAGTGTGGTGGATGAAGTCTCTCTGTTGAGCCAGGTCCTACAGGCTCACTCCCTCCTGGGTCTTCATAACCAGGCTGGGAGTCTGTCCTGTATGGTGGCTCCATAGAGCCTTGTTCTGACTCATTCCATTTATAGCTGGATATAGGCTGAGGCGGGGAAGGGGCTTGGAAAAGTTTGGATTTCGTCCCACAGCAGAACTCCTCCAAGAAACTGTCTACAAACCAGACAGGGCAAAGTGTTAAATCAAAGTTAACTGAAAAGGGAATATTAGTTCACAATGGGATTCACTCCAATTCTGTTTTACCTGGGTCCACTAGTACCGTGCGTTTGTCTTGTATCAAGGTGCTGCGCTCCTCTTGGTTGAAAGTCCTGTCGATCATCACCATTTCTGAGGACGGACTGAAACGCTGCACAGAAGAGTGAGGTTATGCTGTTAGCCCTGTGCATTTCCTAACATCCCACACATCTAGTCATTAACTAGCGCGTGCACCCACCTCAGCTTCCACCATCAGTAGTCGCCTGTATTTGTTTACCATCCCCTGTGTCCTCATCAGCACCTGAGTTGCAGCTGCTTCAAATTCCTCATCCACTGGAAATTCAAAACACAACACACTACTTATATTAAAAACAACAACAACTT